GAATGCTAAAAATTTTAGTTGAAAGAAAATCTGAGATTTATTACCGGAATGTCGGCTGAAGACCTTATTAACCACCTGTTAGCGGATCAGCGGATCCTCAATTCCGGGCCATTGCAACAAGTAGACCATTTTCCTCTCAACAGTCCATTATAAAATAGTTAGAGTCAGTGCAGAGGTAAGTTAATAGGCATTTTGGTGAACTCGATTAAGTTGAAATTTCGAGCACAGGTGCAAAGTCAGAGTCCAATATCTGGGCATTCTGTAAGCTAATAGAGGGTAAGTAAGAAAGAAACGTTAGAAAGTTTAAGCTAACAGCACGAAATATAAAAAGTAATATAGACAAAAAGATAAATAAAACGAAATAGTCACCATTATCATACATTTAAGAAAATACAACCAATTACTGTAGCACAAAACTGCGAAAAAGACGGGTCTCATTAGTCTAGTAGTGTTAGCATTAGTTTTCAGTCCAGCTCATTCCCCGAGGCAACACGGCTCGCTGAGTACATGCTCGCTCTTGATGTTCGAAAATTTAAATAAGAAGAAAAACAAAATTATATTAATACAGGTATAGTATATTTACCCTTTTTTAATAGAATCGTGTGTGGGTCGTTTGTATATTAAAAAATTGAAGGAAAATAAACAAACATAGTGTATTTTAACAGTGGTAGAGGCACGCGGCAGTTTTTGCTGTCGCACGGATGGGCCGGCTCGAACCGGGGTAGTATCACGACCTCACAGAAAACCATCGTGAAGTAGAGGTTTACCTCTGCGTTTCGCTTGGTGAGTGCAGGTGGTCGGAGGCTCTTTTTACTGGAAATGAGGCATTCCATCTTAGTCCTCAAGGGTGACAACGCATCTACATTTTGATTTGTAACAGAGGATAGATGTAGATGTCTATGGGCCGCAGCAACCACTTACCATCAGGTGGACTGTGTGCTCGTTTGTCACCCTTATACTATAAAAAAAAACATATGTAGAAAAATTTAAATAGGTATATTAAATTAAAAAATAGGTTATCCTCATAATATGCATTTTCCATATTAGCTTCAATTTTGTTATTTAAAAAAATTGCGAGCCAGAATTAAAGTAAACGTTAAAATGCACTTACATAATACCAGCGTAAAATAGCAGCTTAATGCTTTCGTATGGTGGGTGTAGAGAACCGGAGACCGGATAAATGTAGAATGTCTATGGGCCACAGCATCCACTTAGCATCGGCTATGTGTTCACTGTGGACGTTTGTCACTCTTATTCTGTAAAAAAAATGCTAAACCGCTCCTTGGTTATGATACAAATTTAGCTACTTCACTAGTAGCATTATATTTATTTCTAAAACCGTTAATTGTTGCAAACCAAGGAAGTCATAAATCATAATACTCGTACATGCGTATGGGTACGTGTGTCGTAATTTCCCTTTTCCATCAAAGGACACTAGACGCTGATCTGGCCTTTAACCGACTTCAAAAAGGACGAGGTACTCAATTCGACTGTATTTAAAACCTTTTAGAAAAATTTACTCCGCAAATATCCGCGTTATACAATAAAATGATGTGTCTTACCTAGTATGAAGAGCACCTCCCGCCCACCCTCAATTGCGTGCACTATCCCCGTCACCACTAATCCCAGCACCGCTACTCCCAACACCACTACACTAGGCCAGACACACCACTGACGAAAATACGACACGTGTTTCGCCTCTACACGAGGCATCCTCAGGTGATATAGACTCTACAGTGGCTCACCGCTAAGAGTGTATATTATTCGACTGTATTTTTTTATGTATGTTACCTCATAACTTTTTCTAGGTGGACCGATTTTGATGTTTCTTTCTTTATTTGTAGGCTAGTGATTCTCATGTGGTCCCATATAATTTTTCTATCAAGGTGTTACCAGTAGTTTTTGAGTCATACAAAATAATTTATATTGAAGTCAGTTGTACAAATTTTTTAACCACTTGTTGTCAATATATGAATTCCAATATTCGAACCGAAAGGTTTGCTCATCATTCGTAATACGTGCAGCAAAGGAGTGGAATAATTTTCACGCGATTGACTTTCAATCTAATGACAACGTGGTACACCTAATGGTAAGTCAGTCACATTTGCAATTTAAAGTTAAACCACCACACGCAACCTTAACACCGGGTAAGGATCACGCTCGCAGAAGAGTAGCAAGAATACGAGCGTAAAATAGCATCATAATGCTCCTATATTTCAATTCCGAAAAATCTTTTAAATATAACAATTTTTTACGGATTTTATCGCTTATATTAATGAAAAATTAATCATTTAATTTTGGAGGTAGCCTTGGTTGACAATGAAATTGGGACGTCGATCACCTCTGTAACCCCTGTGGCCATGGGTGCTGTAAAGTGCTCGAAACGTCGGGTATGTAAAACTTGTTAATATACGCGACTAAATCTGTAAGTAAAAACTAGTTTTATTTAAATGTTTAGTGTTCGCGTAAACATTAGAAACCGAAAATTCTTTTTACTAGTAAAGAGGCATTATTATCCCTCAGGAGTGACAACGCATCTGCATACAGATGGAGATCTCTACCTTAAGGTAAACTGCATACTTAGTTTGTTAGGTTTGCTTCTATAATAAATAAACTTATTTGCTAAAGTAAAAGGAAGTATAAAATCTACTTTTCTATAGAAAGGAGTTATATGTAAGCTTGGGTAATTAAGCATATATCGGGGTGCAGGATTCGTATCGGATGACGCTCTTCAGTTATAATTAGACATGAAGGGTCGTTCCTCTTTTTTTAACAGTAAGGGGATTGAGTGTCTTCCTGGTGTTAATACACTCGTTAATTTAACGACTACTACGTGGTTCAGAAGTGAGCGTAATTATTGCTAAGTCGTTGATTCTGATTTCTTTTTCTGACCACACCACCGGAGGGAGACCGGGCGCAGGACCATCGGCTTTACACGCTTCCCGAGGCACAGGGGTGATACATGGTCATATTCCTGCCTGACATCTGGCAGCTACTGAGAATTTCTTGACAAAAAAAAACTTAATAACTGATTTCTGTTTGCGACACGGGATTCAAACCCGGGATCTCATAATCGGCAGTCGCGTTTACGGCCACTATACCAACGACGCAGTCAAATAGAAGGCGTATCACATTGCTAAAACGTGCGTTCTAATTTTGAACTCCACATAGTTAAAATTTAAAATACATTACATATTAATATTATTCTGATCTGGCTCAAGGGACCAAAAGTGTTCGAATTAAAGACATTTGACGTACTCAAATTTTATTTTCGAACAACACTAGAATATAATGATTACTTATATTTACGCGAAGACTACACATTAAATGAAACTAATTTTTACGGATTTTATCGCGTTTAATTTAACTTTTAAATTCCCTACTTTTCAGGTGTCTGACGTCCCGATGTCATAGTTACCCCGGTTAACCTTCAGTTTTTGAATATTAATTTTGAATAAAGCACCCGAAACGTCGGGTATTAAAAAGTAAAATTAAACGCGATAAAATCCGTAAAACATAGCATCATTTAACACAAGAACATAATATAAAAGAGTTTTAAAATATTCAACACAATTTAATGGTTTTGTGATATTGTTGATTGTCCCCGGGTGTCGAACACTGTAGTACGTTCCATTTTAATACCTTATTGTATAGACCCCTATTGTAGTTACTAGGTAATTTTCTGCCTAAGAGTCAATTGGACATAACCTTTGAAGGTTCTTTGATCTTGTTCTGCCATTTATTGGAATCTCGTTTTGAAATTATTATTAATGGAGTATAATATTTAAGAAAGTAATATTGAATTGTGTAAAATACTTACAATGATATTGAATTAACAATGTTTCATTTTATTTTAAAACTAGCCGTTAACCGTCCGTTACTAAAAATTTTGCTTTAGAACCATAAATAACCGGTTAGCATAACCGGAACGAGGGCAGCTCCTATGCTAATATCAACCAGACTAAACAGCTTAGAGCCATGTTGCAGCTATATTAGAAGTATAGTTGTAGCACGAATGGGTCGGCTCGATCGGGGAAGGACCACGCTCTCACAGAATACCAGCGTAAAATGGCAGCTTAATGCTGCTGCGTTTTGTATGGTGAGTATAGAGAACCTGAGACCCTTTTTACTGGAAAAGAGGCATTCCATCTTAGTCCTCACGGCTGACAACGCATCTGAATTGTAATTTGAAAACGAAGATAGGTGTAGATGTCTATGTGCCACAGCAATCACCTACCATCAGGTGGACTTTATGCTCGTTTGTCACAATTCTATAAAAAAAAAATAGGCAAATTGTACAAAGTCTGCTTCTTGTAATGATCGAGTGACGATGGTTGTGAACATGTCTGTGTTTTTACGTGGTAGAGCCACGCTGCAGCTATATTATGGTAGTAGCGCGAACGAGTCGGCTTGGCCCTGGAAGAACCATGCTCTCACAGAATACCAGCGTAAAATTGCAGCTGAATGCGGCTGTGTTTTATATGGTGAAGTGAAGAGAACTGGAGTCTTCTTTTACTGCAAACGAGGCATTCCATCTAAGTCCACAGGGGTGACAACGCAATCACATTTTAATTCTTGTTCGAGGATAGAAGTAAATATCTATGGGCTGCATCATCCTCTTGATGGTAAGAGGCGGACGGTGTGCTCGTTTGTCATCCTTATTCTATAAAAAAAAAACAGTTACTGTTTGTAGGTGCTAGTCTGCTCGGGTTTTCTGTGCATTAATAAATTACAAATTTTATCATCCTTTTACGCTTATTAGGTAATCATAGAATATGCTTCAATTGCCGATGGGTATATATATATATTTTAATTATAAACTATGCTAACAAATAAAAAAATAACAAAAATGTGAACACCTGAGGCGTTTCTTTCGCAGTTTCTTCTCTATTCTGAGGAACATTTTTTTATAGGATAGGGTGACAAACGAGCACACAGTCCAACTGATGATAAGTGGTTGCTGTGACCTATAGACATCTACGTCTATCCTCAATAAAGAATTAAAATGCGGATGCGTTGTCACCCGTGAGGACTAAGTTGGAGGCAATCCAAAAAAGGGACTCCGAAAAAGGGTCGCCGTTTCTCTACACTCACCACACGAAACACAGCAGTGTCAAGCTGCCATTTTACGCTGGTATTCTGTGAGAGCGTGGTCCTTCCCCGGTCAAGTCGACCCATTTGTGCTACACTACTTATATAGCTGCAGCATGGCTCTACCACGTATAAACGAACTTCGATTCGAAATGGTACTGTTTCAACATAAGTTTAATTAACTGCAATGGTATTGTGTTAATGTCGCAATGGGTACATCAGAGTGGAATAAGTTGCCAGCATTTTTCTATCCATCCGATTACCATATTATATGTGGGTGTCTTTTTTTTTATAGGATCGGGTGACAAACGAGCACACAGTCCACTTAATGGTAAGTGGTTACTGTGACCCATAGACATCTACATTTATCCTCAATAAAGACACAAGATGCAGATGCGTTGTCACCCGTGAGGACTAAGATGGAATGCCTCTTTGCCAGTAAAAAGGGTCTCCGGTTCTCTACACTCACCATACGAAACACAGCAGCGTTAAGCTGCTATTTTACGCTGGTTTTCTGTGAGAGCGTGGTCCTTCCCCGTTCGAGCCGACCCATTCGTGCTACAACCATAATATAGCTGCAGCATGGCTCTACCACGTAGAAAGGCATATCTTATAGGCAAGAATGTTGATGATGTGAATAGGCTTCTTTTACGTTTTAGTGAACGTTAATGTGGTTATCATTTTTTTAATTATAAGAGTTATACAATAATAATATACTCCAGATCAAATGTCGGCCGCGGCGGTCAGTCGATACTTATATTATAGATCATAGACATAGATTATGGTCCAATCGTAGATTATAGTGCATGAGTGTATGCGCAATCACAAGTGCACTCTCTATTCCCTCACTCTCATAGTCTGATGGGAGAGCAATCTGACACGCCCGGAGCGAGATCAAGTGCAGGTTCAACGGCTTTACGTGTTTCCGAGGCATAGGTGTGAAACACCGTAAACTTCCTGATCGAAGCTGTTAGTGAGAATTTATTGACAAAAAAACCCAGTAACAGTTTTTTTTGGATTCGTACCTTAGACCACATGATCAACAATAGTGTAGCAGTAGCGCAATTCAGTCAGGAAGACATTATTTTTATTATATGTATACTGGCAACTCGTCGCGGCTTCGCCTGTATACGATCTATTAACGTGGCGTTACTTCGATTTAAGATAACCATTTATTTTTCGTTTTTACGATTTTTTGTGTTTTTTTGAGACAGACAAAAAATTTAATAATGGTCTTACCGGTAATAACATGAAAATAACCCCCTGAGCTTAATAGGTGACAGTAATTTCAATATTGCAGACAGAAACTTCAATTGTATGTATATTTATAGGTGATAATATAGACCTGTCCCATGCATTTAATGTACTCCAGAAAATAATTAATAGAATAATTAATAGTCCTCTTGAAAATAATTAATAGAATCTAGAATTCTATTAATTATTTTCAAGTCCTTTATATTTACCCAATAAAACAACAAAGAGGCCATTAAAAAGCTATCCATACAAAAATAAACCCTGCAGAGCCTAACTTAATTTCGATAAGTGCTTTAATGATCGTCCCGCCACAATGCTTCGAATGCCGCTGGATTGGAATCGCTATCTGTGGCCACATAAATAAATGGTCCGCTCCGTTTGCTTCACTTGTAAATAAATGTATAGATATATTTTTAGATTCGCTTTCAGATTTAATTTTAGTATTATGTGTATCGCTTATTGACAATCATAGGTTACTATAATACATATATTGACAATGTTGGAATTTACTTTGATATCAATTGCATTTTATGAAAAATATAGGACTTTGCTGATATCAATATAGCAACTCGGGCCGCCGACGTGACGTACCGGAGGGGAGTAGCCATACACAGGTTTTCCCATCTGTTAAAGTACAAATCCACGCGGTCCTATCCGTACAATAAAACTTGTTACAGTTGCACTGCTCACCAGAATAAATTTAGTTGCGCAACTTAATCAATGTCCCACAAAAATGCCAAATTGGACAAAACCTAAAAAGTACAAATATGACAAAATTCCTAGGTATATGGAAAGATCAAAAACTGAATTGGAAAAGCCAAGTTGAAAATGTTTGTAAAAAAAAAAATAGTTTTTCGTATGCACTTTACAAACTAAATAAATTAGCCACAAACTATACAGCACTTACTGCGTACTTTGCCTATGTGGAATCCGTTCTGCGATACGGGCTCATTATATGGGGTAATATCACAGATGCACAAAGGCATTCATTGCCCAAAAAAAATGTATTAGAGCAGTATGTGGCAATGCACCTGATGAGCAGGCCGCTATTTATATCTCTGTAAATACTACTCCTCCCATGCCTGTACATTTTTGAAATTGCAAAGTTTGTAAAACAAAACATGTATTATTTCAGACATGCGAAAGAGATTTACACACGAAATACCAGAAATGGCAATAGACTTGCTGCTGAAATAATACCCAAATGGGGTTGGTTTAAAAAAAAGCTGCTATTGGACGTGGACGTCATATTATTCATTATTCATATTTAATAAAATACCCCAAAATATAAAAGACTTACCCCTTAATAGACTTAAAGGTGCCCCTTATAGGTGGCTAAATGAACATTGTTTTCATAATATGAATGACTATGTACCTAAATTTGACTTAAACTTACTTTATATGTTTATAGTTATTGCATGCCGTAAGCGCCTAAGCGCGTCGGTATGTTCTACTAGGGCATAAAAATTAAGATTCCAACGTTTTGTCCCATGAAATCGTATCTAGCAATCATATTGTACATATAAGTGATATAAAAAACACATTGTCAGAAAGATAAATGATTGTTGAACTTATTGATATTTTTTTAAATCGATTAATTATTATTTTTAAATAAAAAAGGGGTTTTAGTGGCTTATGGTGTGGATTTATCAAGTCCGCAAGGCTTGTAAACACGATAACTTTTGAAAATATCAATTGTTCAACTCAATATATTTTTAAAACTCTTCATCTATCATGTGGGAAGCCATTGAATGTAAACGGCAAATTAATTTTGTTTAGTTTAGTTATAATAAATTTTTTTCGGCTGCGAAATTGCGAAATTTTCATTGTATGCGGCAGCCTTGTATTGAATTATTACTAAATAGAGACTGCGTCACTCAGTTAGTTCGGCTTCGGCGTCAGTCGCCGTCGTGAGTGGACATTGTTACGGTTGTTTGCAGCGGCTCAAAAAGATCGTTGTATAAATTGGTATAAATATACAATATTCGAATAACCAAAAGACAATGCCCATCTGTGCCCCAGAAATGCCCAGATAAAGTATATTACAAGATTGCTCTAATAAATAAAAACTACAATTATGTTGTTAATTTTAAATCATATGAAGCACTGGATAAAAAATAAAAAAATAAGACGTTCTTGTTGACATTGCAGTACGTATCATCGTTTCAATCATTATTTCATGCTTTATTTATTACGGTCTGGAATCACGTCCTTTGGCCCATGTAAAACTCAACATGATTGATATTAGTCATAACAGTGATTACTAAACAATCGAATATACACTGCTTTACAACAAAACCAAATAAAAATATGATTTTATAATAAACGTATATCTAGGCTTCAAATAAACAAATATAATTCAAGCAAAAACCTAATGAAGTAATGGCTCAAGGCTTAGCTCCAAGTCAAAAACATTCCAAAAACTAAAATGACTGTCACTCGTTCATTCACTCTGCGAGTTTTGGCGGGAACTTGACCGGCGGCGGTTTGCTGCTCCTGTATTATAGTTTAAATAATAGTTTTTGATATGTAAAAGTGGTGCGATTTTAGGTATTAACTGTCTACGTATGTGAAATATTAGTGGAAACGGTAAAACAAGTGCTCTGATGGTGATGGATTCTCAAGATAAGCTGTTTGTTTGCATAGGCGCCTTTAGATACCATCGCCAACTGTCAGCTATCTGCTGGCTCAAGTTGCCGTCAAAATCTCCCAAGGGCTGCACAATGTGACTCATCAACATATTGTGAAGCTTAAAATTCCTATATAATCAAAATAAAAAAGACAAGGCTGTATGGCTTAGTTCCTTTGCCTGCTCTCTCGAGCGAATAATAAAAACAACAAACAACATCTTTCACTGTGCCTGCGCAGGGAGGTGAAAATTAGATGGGATGACGTCTGCCGCTGTTTTTGTGTGTTCTCCGATTTTGCTCTTCTGTTCGATAAAAAATCTACCTTGGCTTCGTTTTATGGATTTTTTTTCTTTTTAAAAAAAATATGGATTGCATGATGGTTGGTGGTTGATGGATGGTGAGCATCGCAGCACCTTAATAAGTCCACAGAAAGTGGACTTATTAAGGTGCTGCGTGTGCACAGCGTGTGGACAGAAGACCGACGACCTCTTTCAACACCTATATGTGCCCCTATGATTCGTTCCGCAATCCGACCGGATCAGGTCTGCAAACAGCGACGCGACACGAAGCGGCCCAGCGTGGCCTCCTAATAGACTTTTATTTACTTCGGCACAAATAGGGTTATCTAATTTCAGCCTTCCTTTTCACAAAGCAAAATGATTAAACACTATCACAAAACATATACATAATTTTCCAAATAGCGCGACATTCAATTTCAAATGAATTTAAACTTTCTTTTCAGCAACCAGGCGCAACAATCAAATACAATTACAAAGTATACGCACAAGCATTCAAAAGGGCACATAATTCAATTTCAATTTTCCGTGCAGCAACAAACACAGTGATTAAATATATTTACAAAACATATGCAGCAGCATTTAAAGGAGTAGAAAAAAGTAAATTCAATTCTTTTAATCACAACCGCTACAAATATGGAAATTTCGCGGAAAACCCAAAAGCATTTTTAATTTTAATTTAAATAATTTTTAACTAAGTGCTCGACCAAACCAAATCTAATACCCCTTGACAGCGTGATTCAACGCTCCAGGGGGGCTCTAATCTTCGCACCACCAAATGGAGGCCACACGGCGTGAACCCGAGACCAATAG